AAAACCTACTATATATCATATATATATATATATATATCTTTATTTATTTATTTATATGTAAATATGTAAATATGGATTCCCAAGGTGCAGCTTCGATAGAACGCCTGCAGCGTTTGGTTTGCCTATATTTGGGTTTCCTGTGTCTTAGCTCGTCAAACCCCTGAATGGTTTTATCTTCTGTGATGTCAGTTGACTACCCCCATATCTATACAAGGTCTGAAGGGAAGATGACGAAGAAGCACGCGTCGCTTATTAACATCGGGAGGTGCCTCGAACTTTCAAGTGCCCCTTCAAACGTCGGCGGGAAGTCAAAAAAGCTCGACGATATGTGCCTTGACTGGGAGAAGAATCGTAATGTCACCATTGAGGTATATCTCAAAGCAAAACGACGGCGATATATACCTTTTCGCGTTTTAGAAAGTATCCATTTCATCCGTTGAACTGAAAATCATGCTTGGTATTCAGTACGTATTGCCACGGATGCTGCAGCAAACCATAGCGCTGATCAAGGCGCGTATACTCCGAGCATTTGAGCCACGCGCCTTGGTTTTGCATCACAGCTCAACGTTTGCAACTCATGTCTATAAACCCACTCTGTGTCACTGACAGGGAGATGGTACAATAGACGGTGCGGGAATGGCCTGGTGGGAGGAGAAGGGCGCGCTTCGACCTACACTTGTAGGGCCCATATTCGTGGACGGTTTGGTGTTGCATGGCATAAAGCTCATCAATTCAGCATTCTGGACCGTTCACCCGTTGTTCTGCAATGATGTGAGTATAACAGATGTGGATATCAACGCACCTTCCGACTCGCCGAATACTGATGGCATCGACCCGGATTCGTGCACTAATGTCTACATCGCCAGATGCAAAATAAGTGTTGGTAAGTGCAATGTGATCGACTCGAGCTTTCATTTTACTAGGGAGCCTTTTGATAGGGGGTTTAATCGGTATTTTACAGAGAAGAGCATTCTATATGTGGTATTGTCCCTTTTCAAAAGTTTCTGGCTTTACACAGAGATTTGGGAAATTTATGCTTCTTGCATCCAACTTTTAATTAATTACCCTCATACTAAAAACAAATTCTTCGCGTACTCTATAACGTGACGTGCCGAGCTTAACTAGTTGCTAGTCGTTGATTAGGCCTACGTGTTGTCCTATATAGTGCACACATTTCTGACATATAGCATTTGCACCTGCGTCTTCCTACCTCGATCTATGTCTGCTACACCCTTGTCTACCAAATACTCCCTAATGTTCCCGGCTACCTATCGCAGGCGATGATTGCATCGCCATAAAATCGGGACGAGATGCTGCCGCAAGAAGGATAGGCAAACCAACGCAGAACGTGCTGGTGGAAGACATGGCCTTCGGACAGTGCCACGGTCTGACTATTGGGAGTGAGATGTCGGGTGGAGTCCAGAATGTTACTATCCGCAACTCTGTGAGCACGAACAGCAAACGAGGATACCCGCTCATCCGGATTAAAACGCGGCAGGTCTGTGATCATCCGACGATTACTTAGTTTTCCCGGAGTGAGTGCGGAGTGTAATACGTGAAGCTTCTACCTACTCTAGCCGCTGCAATGTAACTATATCAGCTCGGGTGTGCGGCGTTTCTATATTCGGTGCTCGCAATTTATACACTTGTTCGGCATTTTGAATCTAGTCTACTGTTTTCTGTGTATTTGTACTACCAGATGACTACATGTTAATTGAGCAGAATGATCTGATCTAGTAGCGAGGCGGGCGTCTGGGTCGTGTCTTTGTGGAACGATATGCTGTATTCATTATACAACGTATCCGACACTTTGTACTCTCATGTAAGGTGTTCGCATCTATGTAGAACCTATTCCGCTGTTCCCCATGTCTTTTTCTTGGACTTAAATTGGCGACTACCATCACTCACTTGCTTTTGACTGTGCAGGGTCGCGGTTCTTACGTCAGGGATGTGACCTTCTCGAACATAACAGCGGACTTTGCGACGTATCTCATGAGAGTGGATATGTTCTACCCGCCCCAACCGGCACGTGGAAAGTACCCTATCATCTCCGATATAACTGTCAAGGTATTACACTTCTTTATACGTGTTTTCGTCTCCAGCTGGTTCTCGTGAGCTTCGACTATGTGTAACTACGACGCAAGAGATTTTCAAGTCTACTGATTATAATGTCCAGTACAGTGAGCATGTATGCGTGCGTACGTGCACTCATCTGCCAGTCTCATTGTGTGGTGAGAGCTGCACCTGTAGATTGTAATCTGCGCCTGGTACGTGTGTTGTTACGAAGAGAGCTTCAAGCCGTAAGCAAAGTTACGAGATTTCATTCTGGCTTTTCCACGTGTCGCAGTTTGGCACGAAACGCTGTGATTGTATTTATACATGACTAAATGTTGCAGAATACCCCAGTGACTTCACTTTAAATACGTATACATAATTAAGCTCGCACCTATCCCCTCCATGTGCAGGACATCACCTTACAGCGAGCCTTCGGCGTTTGGCT